ATAAGTAATCTAGTGATTATATCAGTAAACTTTATTTTTCATGTGCTTCCGAAAAAAATCATTATTAAAGAAACATAAATATTGTTCATTCAAATACAATTTGTACATATAATGTTCGTTTGTTAATTTATACTCCGGAAATTAAAGGAGCATTTAATATCTTTCACCCATCTGCATAATTGCAGAATGTGATGTGACCGATTCATGATACGGCAAACGAAATCTGCACAAATAAATTTTACGAATATCATTGCCGGTCATCGCCACTACTTGCATGAAGTGGCGCGAGAATCGCGTTGTTGAGCGTCGAGGTTTTGCCGCCTGGTTTTCCAGTGCGGTTAGGTTACGCGTTGCTTCTTACTCCTGCGCGTTTATGGATTTTTATTGATGCATGAAGAAACTATCGCTTGTCTGCAATTGAATGCAAAAATAGGTAAGCCCAGCAACCGAGTATATGCCATATTCGGGGAAATCATATGAGTTCCTTCGATCGACCGAATGTTTTTCGAGTAGACAGTAGCGACATCAACAAGCCGATAGTAAGGACATTCAATCTGTGTATTCGCAAAAATTATACCGATAATTATCATTGTAACGATTTAAAGAAATCTTCATTGCTCATTTCTATTAATGTCTATTAATTCGAATTTCTATTTAGTTCATTCTTGATTTTTTTCTTTAAAAAACTGCAAGATTAATCTACATTGATAGAAATAGATATAAAAAAATTCTCATTTTTGTTCTTATTTTTTATTTTCTGATGTATTTTTCTGATAGATGCTTATGAAATAAATTGACTTTCATTTAATTCTATATTTTTATATTTTTAAATAAGAATCTGAACAAAATGCCAAAACTACGGATATCGCAAACTGTTTTAAATGCTCGTCCATCCAACATGACATTAAATTTGGAGTGTACAGAGGAACCTCTGAGTGAAGCCCAGCTAACATCAAATACAAAACTCAAAGAGGATTGCGATAAAGTAAGTTTATTCATTTGTTTATCATTTTATTGTAATGACACAAATATATATTTATATCTCTCATAGGTTGCAGTTATTTTAGAAGAAATCTTTAAAGAAGGTA